AAAAGCACACAAGACAAGTGAGGTGACTTGCTTCAAGTCATAAAACAAGTCTGGACGCTTCACTTGCTGGTAGCTACCAGAATTCCACAGAACGGTGTGCAGACACCCAAGGTAAACAGGCTCCAGCCTCGCTTCCCCAGCACAGCACAGCTACGCCCCCCAGAGAAAGTGCTTTGCCTGCTTCCTCACCTGTGTGCCAAAAGCACAGAGCCCCATGAGAAGTGTCTCCCATTAGAGGGGAACGTGTTCGTTGTTACCTCATTAAGTAGGTAATGCTGTCAAACCAAAAAAGTTCTCCACCTCTTCCATGATGTATTTTGATACAAATAACAAGATATCTATCATGATATGGATTGGGTTGGTTATCTGCAATTTTGCTTCCATAATTAAGGGAGGCTTTCGGCAGCAAACAGACCCCAGCTCACATCTTTCGTTCCTCCAACTGTATTTTCTTGTTTGTTTTTTTTTTGAAGACACTGCCATTAATGTTTCTACCCTTTCCTCTGCCCTGACTGCACATTAATGTATTACACAACTTGTATCACTTCACTCCTACTGAACAGTGCACGGGAGTAAAGCAGCCCTCAAAAACTGCTTCCAGGTAAAAATAACCTCCCCAGAATAGATGAGAGAAGGAGTAAGGGTTGCTGGGGTTATTTTTAACCTGGAGCAGTTCAATGCTCTGATTTACGTGGGGACCCGAGAAGGTTTTTCTGGCGCAAGGCAGAGCGGCACTCAGCGGTGCGGTGGGGAGAGGGCCGGGCTGGCTGTGGGCGGATGGGATGTGAGGGCAGCTTTGAGGCCGAGGCCGGTGTGTGGTAACGCCAGGCCTCAAAGACACCACTCAGAAACCATAATAAAACCATTCAGCAGTGCTGGCAGTGGCAGATCCAAAATAACTACAATGGAGTAGTGTAATAAAAAATAAACAGGGACCGAAAAACCTGCAGACAATTTCACCAACACCCTAAAAACTGTCCCATCTCTTCTGCAGATCCATTTCCCTGGGTCTAGAGAAGCATAAACCTCAGCAGTGCCACAGTTATTTCAGATTGCAACAGTGGATGTTCTGAACCTACTGCCAACTGCAGTTACTACAGTATTTTCAGGAGACACATCTCCCACAACTGAGTCTACGTTAATTAAGAAAAGCTGAACAGTACTTACAGCTGCCTATTTTGACTACTTTACGAAGAGACTAAGGCCCAAAGCAAATAGGTTCTGTTTGGCAGTTTGGTTCACACTGGTTGATCGCACTCATAGAACAAAAGCATTTCCTTTCCTCTTCTAAAAGTAATAACAAAAAGAAAAGGGATGAGGAAAAAAGCCACTATTACAGTTGGCATTAGGGATGGAGAAAATATCCTAGCCGCTGTCTGGTATGCAGAGCAGGAATACAAATACCACCTCCATAAGCCGGTCCATCCAGCACCAACCTACGCTTGAAAAAGGTGGAAGCTCATCAGAACTATCAAAAATACTCATGCAGTTGATTTTTGATACTGCAAATATAGAAGCACAACTACATTTTATCTGGAATGAGCTAAATAGTGACAACAGTGATAGAAAAGTCAATTCTAAGCCTCATCTATGATAATCTCTCATTTTTATTTTCTGTTTAAACTAATAGAATTTCTTCTATTTTAAAATATTACTTATCATGGCATGATGTTAAAACACATGCCCAGTAGCAGTTATCACATGTGGGCATACAGATTCACACGAGCGCATCAATACGGAAAGATTTCTGCCTCACTCCTAAGGCTTTAACTAATGCACAATTACAGTCAGCCCAGTGATTAAAATTAAGTCCTTCCACTACCTCAGCTGAGTTGGTTTGATTAACTTGGGAGGGTTTTTTCAGTTTAACTTCCTTTTTCTTTGCTTAAACTAATCATGCTGGCCAGTGACAATTTAATCACATGATAAAAACTCAGCTTTAATAAAGGCAACAATGATGGTCCTACGTAAAAGATAATCTTTCATTAAAAAATTGGCAGCGTAGCATTTTAGAAAAAGATTTCTGCTTTCAGTACCTCTCCACAGAAAGCATGATCTCTCTTGTTCTCAGTGCTCATTCAAACCAACAGGGCTCGACATTTTTGGCAAGACTTAGTCCTTTCCTGTCCTGTCATTTTAGCAAGGATACATTTCCTAATGATGCCAATAGAACACTACATACAATATTTATCAGTGCTATTCATATTAACAATAGATTACATGGATCTGATTAGCATTGCAATTTCTTACACTGGAGTTGCCAATTTTACTAGAGCAAAAAGGTTTTCCAAATTTTACCAGACCAGTCACCACGCTGAAGCTTCCTTAGATACAATACATAACTAACATAAGGCTATTTCCACTTACAGAAAGTGATACCTCTTCCAAAGTGCTGAGCTAATATACATAATTAAAATGCAAGTTCAGTTTTTCTTGCATCAAAGAACTATAACCTACATTCTGACAATCTCAAAAATCAGATAAATACTAACTTATATAGTCATCAAAGGTAAAAGGAGCCAACAATACTACTTCTAAACTAGTGGCTGATGTTTAAAACCTCAACCCTACGAACAGTTACCTATGAAATACTTCTTAAAGTCTACAAAACTAGCCATTAGTCAAAGTTAAGCATAGGCCTACTGTAGACTCAGGGCTTAAAAATTTAACACAATACCTTTGCTCAGTGAAAGAAAACCCAGTTTTAGTGGAGCACAGTTATTCCTCAAGTTTCATGTTATCCAACACACTTCCAAAGACTCCTCAGTAGACTTGAAATTATTTATAGACCTGGTAAGAGTATATCTACTACTTTACACAGCAACACAGCACATAAAAGCACCAGACATCATCTAGTCACAGAAGCCGATGACTTACGTTCCGAACCTCAGTCCACTTTGTTGTCTCTCCTATCCAAGGATCTCAGAATGCATTGCAAACGTGAAAGAACAGACAAGTGCAATAGTACTGATCATTGCAGTTGCTACAAAAAACCAACGACTTTGTTTTATGAGAACCTCAGGCTATTACTAATTAGTCTAAATTAGCCCAATTCTATAAACAGATACAGCCAGGCTGTTGACACACACTTCCCTACTAGTAAATACTACTTACAAGAGGGCTTTCATTTGATTTGGAAGGGCTCGCTGCTCTGCAGGCTACTGGAAATAAAAGATATTGACTATTTATTTTTATATTAAAAACAGCACTCAGAGTAAAAAGAGAACTTCCTTAGCTGTATCTAAGCATTACTTTATGTTCCCAAAAAAAATTCTGAGGGCAAATTTGTTTGTTTTGGTTTTCCTTTGAAGAAACACATTAAAAATACTTTTGCTAAATGGGAAGAGCCCCAGCCAACACTGAATTGAAAACATATTCTGATTCAGACTGAAACCGAATAGGAAATCACGTCAGAACTCTTCATTTGTCCTCAGTGCGTATTTGATATGAATTAAATTAACACATATCCAGCACATACCTGCCTGGCTTGCTTCCTTACTGCTATACAACCAGCTCTTTCAGGGAAAAGAAAAAAATAATCACTGCATTCCAGCTGAACTGAAGAAAAACCTCTCTCTGAGATAGAGGAGACAAGGAAAAAAGTATTTCAGTAAGAAACAGGTCACAGAAACTTGCTACAGCACTGTTACAGACTGCAAACTGAACTATCATGAGACAATGGGCAGCAGGAGAGCTGCAGGCACCTGGCCAACTCAAAAGCGTGCAGGGTGGAGTACAAAGCTGCTGTTCTTTCCCTCAAATATTCTGCTAACACTGTCCTTAAAGTACAAAATTCTTTGTCCAACTGCAGAAAGGTCTTCAATAAATTGACAAAATGTTCCTGCAAATAACACCGAGAGCTATCAAACAGGTATCTTAGAAAATATCTCAAAACGCCTTAAGATTTCTTAAGATAGAATCATAAAATGGCCCTAAAATGATTAATATTACATTCTATGTGCTACAAACTTCCCTCTTTCCATCCATCTGTGCCTGCTCATTGCTAACGCAACACAACACTCATATTGCTAATAGCACATTACTTTTTGCCCTGTACACAAAGCAAGTTCCAAGTTGTTTTTCTCTTTGTAATAAAGGCTGACAGAAGCAGCTAAGTTCCCAGAAGAAGCAGCAGTTGCAAAAGGTAACTTGCTGGTTTCACAGATCACTATCCCACATCTGTCTGCACTTTCCTTTCAAGCACCTGAGACCAACTACTGCTGGAAACAAAACTGCAGTGTAAATGGATCCTGATTTTGATATATCGCAATTTCTACCCTCATTGGAACATTACACAGAAAGTGATGCATTCCTGCATTACTGCAAGTACAAGATATTTCCCAGCAATTAATAACATCTCAGTATTCAAGAGTTCAGTGAGCGCAAACTGTATTTTCGTGGGTTTCTACTGCTTGCCTGCTTGGGATAGATACAATAGAAACTAATCACAGTGAGTAGGCACAAAGTTATATCACCAAACAAGTAATTATACTTTCTGCATTTACTCTGGGGCTGCTGGGATTTAGAATCATTAACTAGGACTGGCAAGGGCTGGGGCAAGGACATAGTTATGTGGAACCTTTGCAGAAAGTCTGGCTGACACAGCTGTCAGAAAACATCTGAATCAGCAAGAAAACTCTACTATTTTTCCAGAAGAGAGAAATACAGTATCACTAAGTGCCAGCTAATTATCAACTGGCTGCTGCACACATCTTCCCTCTTTTTGGGCAGGGCAAATACCCAAACATCACTGCCCACACTGCTCTTCTTCACTGCAGCTGCCGATTGCAATGGAGTGAAAGAAAGGAGACAAGGACCTCTGCCTTCAGAGACCTGCATACTCTAACCATGTTGCTGTACTTCAATCAGCACTGACTCACGATACCTACAGTAGTAATTCCCAAAGACCAGTCCACTGTTTTTTGTAAATATTTACTACAGTGCAGCGAAAATCATTTGCAAAAAAGCATGACTGCAGCCAATGAGGATTCTTTACTTACCGGTGGGAAATCGAAGTCTATCTGGTTAGCTAAATTTAAGATGTAGTCGATTCGAAACTGGTTCTCTGGATTGGCTAGTTCAACTGGAGGTGCCAAGTTGCCCATTGCTGTCACTATTGTCTGCAGAAAAGTAAAAGACATTGCAAAATGTGTCTACACACCTAACTGTGAAGAGTTAACAGTATTAGCTTGTATGCTTACCTCTATAGCTTCTTTAATATTGTTCTTAATATCCTGAATTTTCATTTTCTTTTCCCTGTAATTAAATACATTATTAAATGTATAGGCCATAAAAGCAGAGCATCTCTTTGAAATAGAACATTAAAAATATTCTAGCAAAACTATATTGTTAACACTGAATAAATTTTCCTCAGTACTGAATATTTTTGTAGAGAGACTCTGAACAAACATCTCAAATCCTCTCTGCTTACACAGTGAACATCTATTTGTTTCCAAAAGTGGATATTCAATTATGCTTAAATAAAAATTACTGCTGTCTGACAGCAGTACAAAGACATTCTGCAAAATTAGCTGATTTTGATTCATTTTAATACGAAATACTAGAAATACATGAAAGTTATTTAGAAAACAGAAATTGAAAAGAAATAATAATAAAAAAAGAGTAAATTACAATAAGTAGAAATAAATGGAAGGAGAGCAGAGCACAATGAGTTACACACACACAAAAACAAACATGAAAACGATGTCAGCAGAAAAAGCTAGAGCAGAAATCTCAACCTAGCACAGACATTCAAACAGATCGGGCGCAAAGCCTGCAATAAAGGACTGAAGTGAATACATACAATTATTTTCAACTACGAGCACAAGTGTAGGCTAGAAATCCAGTCTGAATGCTGTATGTGAGCACTCACATTTAGGATTAACTGCAGGCAAATCAAAACGTGTAACAGGCAAACAAACTAATGCCTCTAATATATCTGTAAGGAGTTGTACTGCACGCCTTTTGCTATTCTGACAATAGTTGTTCTCAGTGCTAAATAGCACCAACAAAAGAAATGCCTGATCACACGTTCGGTGCAGGCGCTCACCTCCTGGAGGTATGACTGGGATTGAGTCTGTAAACTGGAACTTCACATAAAGCACTGGGATGAAGCTGTTACATTATTCATTTCTTGCTACACGTATAACAATACATAACGTTACTGCTTTGAGGTAGAGCAAATTAGCCAAGTTATTATTGAAACAGAACAAAAGACGACCTCTCTGAATCATCTAACCCACCTTTTAATCTTCACCAAAACGTTTTACAAAACACTTGTGTCCCTAAATCTACATCATTTATTTCTAATATTACTTATTAGTATTATATTTATATACTTATATTACTTATTTTGAAAACTCACATTTTTCAGAACAGCATCTCAAAGGCTCCAAACGACAACACTATGCTGCTTTATTCTTTAAAAGGCAACGGTCACACTTCCAGTTTGCTGAGTACACCTTCAAAATTTCAATCCACCTAAACAACTAACCAGTCATGCTGTAAATGCTTTCTATCACATCTTCCTTTCTGTATTTATTCACAACCAACGAAACGAAACTGAAAGCATATTCACTGTCCAAGAGTGCAGAACAGCAGAACAAGAAGTACTGCTGGAGTAACGGGGCAGACGCAGCAGTCCAAGAGTGGGGGGAATCTCGATTATCATATGAAAGATTACTTTAACTGCTGTAAAAGATCTGTCACTGAAAACAACCACGTGCAGCTGCATGCCACACTGCCTCATAGATGCAGGCTCACAGGATCCCACCACACACACACTGGGAAAGCACATCTGCAATGCGAGTCCTGCAGACACAAAGCAAACAGCAGCACGCAGTCACCTCGCTCTGCGCCACTGGGCTGCACCGAACACATATGGACTGGCAGCAAAACTCCAACACAGAACAACGTGACTGTCCTCAAACATGAGCTCCTTAGCACTGCCCGTAACAAATGTGCACTCAAAGCACAAGGGCACCAAAGTCTGATGCAGAATGCAAATGAAATGATCGGTAGTTAGGAGTCAATTCCTGAGCCCACTAGAGCTCCTGTCCCACCCAGCAGACCACCTTACACCCCACGTTTGTACCTGAGGAGTCCTGGTTTTGGCATTGCTGATGGGAGCAAGGCAATGAGCCAGGAATTAAAAAAGAAAAAAAAACCCAACACATAAATAATGCTATGACAGCAGGAAACGTTTCTCGCTGATAGTGCAAGCAAAATGTCTGGCTTGACTTTGCCTCTAGTCTTCAGCTAAGGTCACGAACTCAGTGAACACAGAATCCAAACTGCCCCATTGAGGTCAAAAGGACAACTGATATGCCCAGGGTGAAGCAAGGCACCAATGTTTTTAAAGGACTACGTAAAAAGTTACGTTCAGTCCTTTTGCTTTGTTTTGGAACAGGTATTTAGAAAGTCTCCTGATTTTTATGTGAACTGCAGTTAAGATTCTTTTTCCCCTAGAGTTCTTGTGGCTAAATTTCTCAAACCATCAGTTACCTGACTCTTCCACATCAGACCAAGAAAGGGAGTATTTTTCTTACAGGTTCTTGTCAAACTTTCATATTTACACGTCTCCACAGCTCCCGAGTTAGCAGCAGCACTGAAAGCGATAACGAACGTGGAGCGATGTAAGACTCCAGCAATTAACAAACTGCTTGACAGCATCACCGTCTTTACAACAGGAATGAACACTCACAGTGCCTATTTCTGTGTCTGTTGCCATGGCCCTACAGCACGCCCGGTAAACAAGGACTCTTATTACACAGCAATGAATGCACCATGTCATTTTGTGTTTGGTTACGTTTACTAAGCATAAATTTTCCATGACAATGGGATATGTAATTCCTCTGAAGCTCAACGTGTTCCTCGATCACTCATCCAACAGCTCACCTGCACCTGGAAGTTCCCTTTAAAAAAGGGCAATGGATGTCGCTGTGGCTCAGGAAGTGCAGCTGAGGAACACCAGCCACCCCTGTGCTGACAAAATTCTTTTGAGAAATCTCTGGCAGATTGCACCTCAAATTTACAAAAGTGATCGAACTTCATTTCCCTCAACCATGAAAGCTGGACCTTTGGAACTGATTCCTTCCTCTTCCCTGCTCCGGGTACCAACACAACAGCCAGCACAACAGCAGCTCTGCCTGCTTTGTCCGCCTCGCGAGCTCCCAATGCCCTTCTGTATCTCTACATGCCATGGGTTAATAAGGTCAAATTTTTAATCTCATTTAAAACTTTTGGTTAGGCTGTGTAGGGTAGGCCAAACAAAGCATTAGACTCTATTAGTTGAGGATTATAAGAAAAATCTCAAATCCTGCTGTTTTCAATATTTAAATGGGCCAAAGGAAAGCTGCACATAGCTCTCAGGAAAATAAATAAAGTCTATTTTAGGCACTACAAAGAAAAAAGATGACATTTCAATACAAGAAACCTGAAATTAGAATGACATAAAAGGTCAGGAAAATCCAATATTCCTTGAAAACAAACTATGCTCGGAGAAGAGCGATCCCACCTGTGGCAGCAGCGTAAGTCAGACTCCATCAAACCGTATGCAGTGAGCACACTGCCAAACAGATCATTAAGTTAAAAAAAATAATAAACTAATTTGAATTTAATGCTCATTTCTGATTTACTTTCCCAATAACACAACCAACCACAACTTGGAACTTGGGAAGTATATTTAATGCTTTAAAAAGAACATCCTAGCAGGCCCAGATTCACCTTGCAAGTAGAAAAGGGGGAAAAAAACACGGCATTGAAATGAATTGAAGAAAACATATCACAGAATTCTGTTTTTAAAAAAGAAAACTTAGAGATCTTGTAACCCCTTTATGTCATTTTGGAAGAGAAGAAGTTTGGATTCCTTTGTTGGTCTGGGAAGGTTCAGGTGCTGTGTGCTCTGCTGGAAGTTTGACTGAACAGATGGAGTTGTGAGAGGACTGGAAACAAAAGCACAAAGAACTTCCAGTTCTGAACCAGAAGGGAGGTACTTTAAGAGCAAAATGAGGTGACCGTTTTTTCCTCCAAATACATGGTAAGGTAGCTTTAAAAGAAAAGTTCCAAAGCTCGTAGAATACTTAACTACATATATATATATATAAATAAAATGTAAAAATGAAAAGGCTGATCAAATAATAATGTTAAAAATACAGTTAAAATTACAGTTAAATATGATTTACGTTGCACAGATCTGATTGTGACCATTTTTATATTATTTCTGAGAACTTAACTCAATGCTCCCTGAAGTATCACCACTTCCACACACGTGATGTAACACATACAAAGGACAACATATTGCTTCCCTAAGTTCTCTCTTTTAAATGTTGTGAAAAGCACAACGGCTCTGCTTTTACTGTTTTAACACATAATAATATTTACTTACATGAGGTACGTGCACTTCCTAGTATGTGGCCATTGACAGGAACGTGATATGAAAATTAAGAGCAAACAGACACTGTCTATTTGTAGAAGAACAGAATCATTCTCTAAGTTACAAAGCAAGAAATATAAATTACTGAAGCACTGATAAAAACACATCACTGCTGTCTCAATAAAAGTTACTGTCAAGAAACACACTGTGAAAAAGTCTGAATGCAAAAGCAGACACTGCGCTGCTTCTGAGCACAACTCACGCTGCAGCATTAGGTGCTAGGCCTGGGACACACTTATTTTCCAAGGGAACAGGGCCATAATGCAGTCACCACAAAACTCAAAAAAGGCATTCCTAAGCATAAATCTAATTAACCCAACCTGTAGGTTTGTTTCACCCGTGTCCACTGCACTGTTCTCACCGTAAAGGAGAAAGGCTACCGCCAGTGCCCTGCAGGGAGCTGAGGAAGGCTGCCCATCCTGGGACCTTTGGGGCTGCACAGCTGGTGACTCTGGGGCAGGGCCAGCACAGGGCCACGCTCAGTGTGCAGGGTGGGATGGCACAGCGTGCTGCTCTGGCTCCAGGTCACTCTGAGGCTCCCCTTCAGCTCTGCAAATTCCTGCATACAACCAGTTTAACTGGCTTCACAGTCCCTTCACACCTGTAAGTATCACAGAGACCATCACAGACCCAATGTTAAGAAGCATAATTCTGCTTACACGGCTGCCTTTACCTCAGCTAATTAACTAGCAATAGTTTAGGTAAGGAACGACAATAAAACTGTTTACAAAGAGCTCTGTGATGTACGAGGTTGATAAAGACCCTTTAATTTGTTCTGTACAATTAAACACCTGTGTGAATTGCATACTGATTTCTTGTTCTT